CCGTGTTTGTTTCAAGTCTGGCAAAAGGAGGGACGTGATATATGGATGTAAAACTTGTGATGTGGCACTGTGCGCTGCGCCTTGCTACACAAGGTACCACCGAAGAAAGATATTTTGGGTGGAGAAAAAATAACCACTGGCAACAGCTTCACTCCACCTAAGAAACATCAGATGAGCAAGTTCAGGATCAGAAGCCTGAAGATGGTGGAGTGAAGAAAAAATGCTCAACTGTTGATCTTCAATCAACATAGACAGGGTAAGTACACCTATTTGGAATTTTTTATCATCTATAAGAAGTTATATTATATACGTTTTGTAGAGAATTTATTTGCGAATTTTTTGGTACCAGAATGAATATTATATCACATAAACTTCTATGAGTAAAAAAAAAAAACACAAAGTATGTTTGGGGGTGTGGCTCTGGGTGTGGCGGCCGTGTGGCAGTGGGTTTCCTTTAGCCGTTGATATATCCAACACGTGGGAAATATTTGTATGTGTTATGTATATGTCTGTGTAGGGAATTTTACTGCGATCACTGTCATACAAATTATAATATGTTTCAACAAGTATAAACATGACAAACATCAAACGAACGAAAACAATGCGTTCGTTTCTGCCGCGAACGCATACTGAGCGACGTGGTTCTATATTTGGCGCTTCTCTTACACATGCTTTGTACAAATGTTATACATTTCATCTTATAGAAAATTTTATTGCGAACACATTGGTATAAAAAAGAAATACATACATAGAAAAGTAGGGTCAGGAAACGTATAAATGTATAAACTTTTCAAGCATGATTTCCCCCCTGTGTTTTCGCCAGTGCGCTCGCGGCTAACTACTCTCCACTTCACACACTCTTGCGGGTGGGCAATTACTTATATTAAACATTCATATGCATATGTCCGTGTAGAGAATTTTATTGCGATTCCAATGATACCAAAATTAGCGATGTAGGACAACTGTAGGCTTCGCAACCATTAAGAGAGTGGAAACATTTTGTTGCTGTTTGGCGCTCTCGGCGAGTGATCTGCATAGTTTTTTATTTGGTGTTGATACTCCTTATGCTTGGGCGGCATTTTATAGGTATGCTCTTATAGACAATTTCATTGCGAACACAGTGATACCAAATTTAAATACGTGCGCCTTCAATTATTGTCAGGACAGTCAAAAGAGTGTACACTTTTTCGGTCTTACCGCGTAGGCGCGCGAAGTGCCGAAAGCATCTGGGGTATTGATTTTTTTTGAGCGCCGAGAGCGCGAAAGTGTTAAACAGAGGCTAGAGTTAAGGTCTTGCGCCCAGTAAATTCTCCCCGGCCAGGAAACGAACCCAGGACAAAGAGCTCGTGAAAAGCGCAGCATGCGTCTTAACCATTACATCAATTATAGACCTGTATCATTGACAAGTGTAATAGTGAAAGTATTGGAAAAGCTAATCAAAACTAAATGGGTAGAACACCTGGAGAGAAATGATATAATATCAGACAGACAGTATGGTTTTCGATCAGGAAGATCCTGTGTATCGAATTTACTCAGTTTCTATGATCGGGCCACAGAGATATTACAGGAAAGAGATGGCTGGGTTGACTGCATCTATCTGGACCTAAAAAAGGCTTTCGACAGAGTTCCACATAAGAGGTTGTTCTGGAAACTGGAAAATATTGGAGGGGTGACAGGTAAGCTTCTATCATGGATGAAAAATTTTCTGACTGATAGAAAAATGAGGGCAGTAATCAGAGGCAATGTATCGGAATGGAGAAATGTCACAAGTGGAGTACCACAGGGTTCAGTTCTTGCACCAGTGATGTTTATTGTGTACATAAATGATCTACCAGTTGGTATACAGAATTATATGAACATGTTTGCTGATGATGCTAAGATAATAGGAAGGATAAGAAATTTAGATGATTGTCATGCCCTTCAAGAAGACCTGGACAAAATAAGTATATGGAGCACCACTTGGCAAATGGAATTTAATGTTAATAAATGTCATGTTATGGAATGTGGAATAGGAGAACATAGACCCCACACAACCTATATATTATGTGAGAAATCTTTAAAGAATTCTGATAAAGAAAGAGATCTAGGAGTGGTTCTAGATAGAAAACTATCACCTGAGGACCACATTAAGAATATTGTGCAAGGAGCCTATGCAATGCTTTCTAACTTCAGAATTGCATTTAAAGACATGGATGGCGATATACTAAAGAAGTTGTTCATGACTTTTGTTAGGCCAAAGCTAGAATATGCAGCTGTTGTGTGGTGCCCATATCTTAAGAAGCACATCAACAAACTGGAAAAGGTGCAAAGACATGCTACTAAGTGGCTCCCAGAACTGAAGGGCAAGAGCTACGAGAAGAGGTTAGAAGCATTAAATATGCCAAAACTAGAAGACAGAAGAAAAAGAGGTGATATGATCACTACGTACAAAATAGTAACAGGAATTGATAAAATCGACAGGGAAGACTTCCTGAGACCTGGAACTTCAAGAACAAGAGGCCATAGATTTAAACTAGCTAAACACAGATGCCGAAGAAATATAAGAAAATTCACCTTCGCAAATAGAGTGGTAGACGGTTGGAACAAGTTAAGTGAGAAGGTGGTGGAGGCCAAGACCGTCAGTAGTTTCAAAGCGTTATATGACAAAGAGTGCTGGGAAGACGGGACTCCACGAGCGTAGCTCTCATCCTGTAACTACACTTAGGTAATTACACTTAGGTAATTACCACAGGAACTACCAAACAGTTAGGAGGTTTGGCAAATTCTATTCAATAGTGAACAAAGTCAAACAACATTTCTTAGTGGCAGACAGCAATAAGCATCCCAGGTGTTCTACTGATAACATTCCATGCTACTGGCTGATGAAGAGAAGGATCTAATGATGGTAGCCTGCCAATCCATGCCTGAAATACCACAATAATAGCGAAGATTTGTATGTGGTACTTACGTCTACACTCGTGGGCGTTGAGGGAGGTGGCGTGGTGCCAGGGGACGTCGTTGTAGAAGGGCAGACACTCATTGCAGTCTATGCCAGCAGTGTTGTGCTCACAGCGACACACCAGCTGGGCCTCCCCATCCTCACCCGTCGACGTCACACACTCTGATGCATGCCCATTACACTTGCATCTGTAAGTGTATACACAACACTTATACTGCCTTGTCAAGTGCACCTGTTCGTGTCCCCAACCCTCCCCTCCACTTTTATTATGTATAAATATTTTGTTTCATAACTCATTTCCATGCACACACCACACACATGCAGACAACAAATCAAATCAAATCAAATCAAATGTTTATTCAGATAAAGTAAATACATACAAGGTGAGATACAAACATTGATGGATTTATAGATAGAGTTAGTACATACAATGCCTAAAGCCACTATTACGCAAAGCGTTTCGGGCAGGAAAAACATTAAAACTAAAACTTAATACTAATTGAGATTAAAGTATAAACTGTGTTGAGAAAATAAAAAATAAAAAAAGGGGGGGGGGAATATGGCTGAAAATAGCAAATATACAATTTGATCAACAAACAGCATTGTTTAAAATAGTAGACATGGGTAGACATTTAGGGGTAAGGTAGGTTACAAGGAGTTAATTAGGTAGTACTTAGTTTTTATCTTAAACTGGTTGGGAGAGGTACAGTCTTTAACATGATTGGGAAGGTCATTCCACATTCTGGGCCCCTTGATTTGTAGAGCATTTCTAGTTTAAGTCGTACTCTTAGAATATCAATAGGCATTTGTTTCTGGTGTGGTGCTCATGGCTTCTGTTCTCATGGTTTAGAAAGAATGCCAACAGTTTTTGAAACTTTTTTTGATATACAGTGGCACCTCGACTTACGATTGCCCCTACTTACGATAATTTCGAGTTACGATGTAAATTTCATCGAAAAATGCGACTCGACATCCGATGGTGTCGTCGACTTACGATATTTTTTGGTACACGTTCGGGTCGACTGAGCGCGTGGTTCCTGGTCGCGCAGCCGACCTGCCTCAGTTTACTACAGCTGCCCGTTTAGTGACGATCGCGCCTATAAGAAATTTCGCTATTGTGGAGATTTTTTGCATTTTGAACATTAAAGTAATTATTATATATCACCCCATGAGTCCCAGGAAAGTCAGTGATAAGGCCCAACATATGAGATCCCATGTAAAGATGATCGTAGAGCAGAAACAAGAGATCATTCGTAAACATGAAGATGGTGTGGGGGTTGTTGGACTGGCTAGGCAGTACAACAAATCTCAGTCAACAATATCCACCATACTGGATAAGAAAAAGGACATTATGGGTGCTAAAGTGATGCATCATTACAGACAAATGTTAAAACGAATGGAAAAACAAATGTCTCTTGACAAATTTGTTGTGAGAAAAACAAGCACTGAACCACAACCAGGTCCTAGTGGTATTCAGACAAAACGTAGGAGAGAGAGATTACCCAGAGAAAACATCACTGCCTGATGTGATAATGGAAGGGGACTCCCCTTCCAAACAGTAACAACTCTCCTCCTCCACCATCACCATCTTCCATATGCCATCAAGAGCTCTCCATAAAGGTAAGAGTAACTTTGGTACTGTATTGTAGTTAGAAAAAACATTGTATTCAGTATAAAATGTATTTTTATGTTAATATTTTGGGGGGTGAGGAACGGATTAATTCAAATCCCTTTATTTCTTATGGGAAAATTCGCTTCGACTTCCGATATTTCGTCTTCCGATCCGTCTCTGGGAATGGATTAGCATCGGAAGTCGAGGCCCCATTGTATATAAAAAAAAAGTTTCAAAAATTGTTGGCATTCTTTCTAAGATCAGATATTATGTACCCCGCCCTGCCCTGGTGACTCTCTATTACTCCCTCATCTATCCATATCTCACCTATGGTATTTGTGCTTGGGGTTCTACTACCCAAAATAATTTACGTCCTCTAATTACTCAACACAAAGCTGCTATTAGGACAATATCCAACTCTGGCCCCAGACATCACTCGGTACCTCTACTCAAATCTCTGAATATGTTAGATATTCAGTCACTGCACATTCTCTCATGTGTATTATACATATATAAAATGCTGAACTGTAATGCCAATCCTGACCTCAAAAGCTTCATTGAAGGTTGTAACAGAACCCCTGAGCACAACACCAGAAATAAATACAGTTTTGATATTCCAAGAGTACGACTTAATCAAACTAGAAATGCTCTACAAATCAAGGGACCCAGAATGTGGAATGATCTTCCCAACCATGTTAAAGACTGTACCTCTCTCAACCAGTTTAAGACAAAAACGAAGCACTACCTAATAAATTCCCTGTAACTTACCTTACCCCTCTATTGTCAACCCATGTCTGTCATTTTTAAACAATGCTGTTTGTCGACCTAATTGTATTTTTGCTGTTTTTCTGCCATGTTCCCCCCTTTTTTATTTTTATTTTTCTCAACACATTTTATACTTTATTCTCAATTAGTATTAAGTTTTAGTCTTTAATGTTTTTCCTGCCTGAAACGCTTTGCATAATAGTGGCTTTAGGCATTGTATGTACTAGCTCTATCTATAAATCTATCAATTTTTGTATCACCTCTTGTATATATGTACTTTACCTGAATAAACATTTGAATTTGAATTTGAATTTTGAATTTGAAGTTAGAAAGCATGGCATAGGCTCCTCGCACAACGTTCTTTATGTGGTCCTCAGGTGATAGTTTTCTATCAAGAACCACCCCTAGATCTCTTTCTTTATCAGAATTCTTTAAAGATTTCTCACATAATATATAGGTTGCGTGGGGTCTATGGTCTCCTATTCTACATTCCATAACATGGCATTTATTAACATTAAATTCCATTTGCCAAGTGGTGCTCCATATACTTATTTTGTCCAGGTCATCTTGAAGGGCATGACAATCATCTAAGTTTCTTATCCTTCCTATTATCTTAGCATCATCAGCAAACATGTTCATATAATTTTGTATACCAACTGGTAGATCATTTATGTAGACAATAAACATCACTGGTGCAAGAACTGAACCATGTGGTACCCCACTTGTGACATTTCTCCAGTCCGATTCATTGCCTCTGATTACTGCCCTCATTTTTCTATCAGTCAGGAAATTTTTCATCCATGTTAGAAGCTTACCTGTCACTCCTCCAATATTTTCCAGTTTCCAGAACAACCTCTTATGTGGAACTCTGTCGAAAGCCTTTTTTAGGTCCAGATAGATGCAGTCAACCCAACCATCTCTTTCTTGTAAAATCTCTGTGGCTCGATCATGGAAACTGAGTAAATTCGATACACAGGATCTTCCAGATCGAAAACCATACTGTCTGATATAATATCATTTCTCTCCAGGTGTTCTACCCATTTAGTTTTGATTAGTTTTTCCAATACTTTCACTATTACACTAGTCAATGATACAGGTTTATAATTGAGGGGGTCTTCCCTGCTGCCACTTTTGTAGATTGGAACTATGTTAGCCTTTTTCCACACGTCTGCTACGACTCCTGTACACAGGGATGCCTGAAAGATCAGGTGAAGTGGAATGCTGAGCTCAGATGCACATTCTCTCAGAACCCATGGTGAAACTCCATCTGGGCCAACTGCTTTATTCTTACTGAGCTCCTTTAGCATATTTTCCACTTCATCTCTAGACACTTCTATATGCTCTATGTTGTTCTGTGGAATTCTTATTGTGTTTTGCTCTCTGAAGATCTCATTTTGTACAAACACACTTTGGAACTTTTCGTTTAATGTTTCACACATTTCCTTTTCATTTTGAGTGTATCTGACCCCCATTTTTAACCTCTGTATATTATCCTTTACCTGCAGCTTACTTTTAATGAATTTATAGAAAAGGCCTGGATCTGATTTACATTTGTCTGCTATACCGTTCTCAAAGTCCCTCTCTGCCTCTCTCCTTACTGACGTGTAGTTGTTTCTTGCATCTTTGTATCGCTGGTGATGTTTGGGGGTTTGGCCTCTTTCTATAATGATTCCATACTTTTGTCTTTTGATCTCTGGCCCTCTCACAATTTCTGTTGAACCAACCCTGTTTCCCAGGTCTGCATGTCCGTGTGTGTATGTGTGTGTGTTTAGGTTATCTAGAGGTTATCTTGAGATGATTTTGGGGCTTTAGTGTCCCCGCGGCCCGGTCCTCGACCAGGCCTCCACCCCTAGGAAGCAGCCCGTGACAGCTGACTAACACCCCAGGTACCTATTTTACTGCTAGGTAACAGGCGCATAGGGTGAAAGAAACTCTGCCGATTGTTTCTCGCCGGCGCCCGGGATCAAACCCGGGACCACAGGATCACAAGTCCAGCGTGCTGTCCGCTCGGCCGACCAGCTCCTGTGAGGACATTTTGTCCAAAAGTGACCCAAGGCAGAGCAGATTTGATGTTGTCCTTGACCACTTTTTGTAGTGGTCTGGGTAGTACAGTTGGGTTCGTTCTCGACTCACAATTGAAAATTCCGGGTTCAAATCCCAGGTGGCACAGAAATGGTTGGGCGTCTTTCTTTTTGCCTCACGCACCTGTTTACCTAGCAGTAAATAGGTACCTACGAGTCAGTCACCTTGTTGTGGGGTTACATCCTGGGTGGGGTCAGTAATTTGACCCAGGTGGGAGGGACCTCAGTATAAGCCTAACATATACTGTATTTATAACTTGGCGTCCTGTCTCCGACACAATGAATTATATTCTATATGTGTGACATATATAGCACATATATTGTACTAGTATAATGGTAGCACCTAAAACATTGAATTAAGTTTAGGTATTCTACTTGTGTAAGGAAGCATGATGGAGTACTAGTGTTGAGGACTTTAATGTCTTGATGCAGTAGTTTCTGGGCTTCACAGGGGAAGGAACACTGAATCTAAAGGATCTTGGTGTTTGGGAAGTAAAAGATCTTCCTAATAGTAACACTGTTGGTGCTGTTACTGTTACTCCCTAACAGTAGCGTGTTGGCAAACTGTACCAACCTCCCCCCACCCCCACTGCCCCACCAAGGGGCAAACTGTAAAAAGGCTGGCTCAAATCTCTTGAACTGGGCTATTGAATGGAGGGAACATGGCACTACCCAGGCAAAGAACCACCCAAGGGAAATGCAGAAGGCCAAGCCACTGGCCCTGAAGATGGTTTACCTCAACCAACAGGAAGTGTTGCCTAGCCCTACCAAACTGTCTTGGAAAATGAGGACACCCTCAAATACATACGGCCTCAAAAAGGCCGTATGTATGTCCCCAAGGCCGGCACTGGCTGACAAGCATGAGCCATAGGGGACAAGAATTGCTTCACAACTTCCTCATGAAAAGCAACGGAGAAAAAGGAGAGGCGGAAAGGAAAGCCAGGGCCCCACACCGATTGCAAAGAAGAGGTAAGCACAGCCTGTTTACACGCGAGCTGGGAGGCAAAAATGTGACCACAGCCTCCCAGAGCACAGGGACATACAGCTTAAGGATAGCCACCAGCAATGGTATAACAGATTATGGACGTCAGTCCATACATATGGAACATGCATCCTGGTTCTTCATTTTGATCCTTTGCACCGATTTCAGTGAACCTTTCTCCTCATGGATGTTGAACAACCTAATCCTCTGCTGGGATTATCTGCAACACTATTGACTCTTCATGGACTCAGTGTTATGGTTGAAGGCTGAAGAAAAGCAATCTTGATCCACATGGTTTTATTCTCAACCAACAATAACAACAACAAAACAATTTTCAGGTACATGAATTACTATTTACAAGATTATAAACAAAAAGAGCATCTGCTCCAAACATGCTACCTCCAACATCTTTAGTACTCAATCCCAACATTACTCCCCTTTTAAATAAACTATATCCCTACAGGTTAAGTCTATCACGCGGTCGTATGACTCTTCCTGATTTTCTCAACTGGGAGTCCTGACCTGTTACTTCTGGGAAACATTCTTCTGAATTACTCCTTGTAGAGTCCATAGGGTTAACTGTATCCCCATTACCCTCTGCTGCCCCTTGCTCTGTCTCCCGGTCTCCTGCAGGTACTGCTATCCCTTCATTATAAGGATGGATATCACTAGTTGCCCCATCCCCACCTGAAGGGTCTTCAAAATTCCCTGTGAACCTTGGCATGAGCTGATCTGCATGCCTTTTCCAATTAATGTTCCCAAAACACTGCACTTGCACAGTGAAATTCCTGCAGCCCAAGACTTCCCTAATTTTTCCTTGTACTCAAGGTTTACCAATTCCAAAATTCCTTGCATATACGGCATCCCCCTCGTTAAACAACAGTTCCTCTCCCTAAGCCAACTGACTGGTCAAGCTAGTTACCGATTTATCTTTTGGGATCTGTCTTTACTGCTTCCAGGTGCACTTTAAAGCGCCTATTAAACGGTAATTCAGAAGGAGATTTATCAGTAGTAGAATGAACAGTTTTCCTTTGATTATATAAAAATCTACAAAGCCTTGTATTAATAGTACCCTCTGTAAACCGCTTTAACCCTTCTTTCAATGATCTCACTGCTCTCTCTTCTAGACCATTTGAAGAAGAATTATAGGGGGCAGGTGTTATATGTTTAATACCATTTTTTCTAAAAAAAAAAAATCCTCCATTTCCACAGAAACAAAATAAGGAGCATTGTCTGACACAACCATGTCTGGTAATCCAAAATTACAAAATGTTTTCCTTAGTAATTCACAAGTTACAGAGGATGTGGTGGAATTACACACATGAACATCCAGAAATTTGGTGTATGAATCCACCACCACTAGGTAATATTTGTTATCCATAGGTCCAGCATAATCTATATGAAGTCTAGACCACGGTTTTCCAGTGCATGGCCAAGAAAGTACTGGGGCCTGTGGTTTTTGATAATTCTTAAAGCAAATATGACAATTTTTTGTTACCTCAGCAATATCCTGGTCTATTTTTGGCCACTAAACCCAACTTCTAGCTTCTGCTTTCATAGCATTTATGCCATTATGGCCTACATGCAGCTGTTCCAAAATCTTACATCTCAGTTCCCCAGGCACCACCACTCTATTCCTATACAAGAGTACATCCTGGTGAATACTAAGGTCAGCATTTACTGCAGCATACTTTGACAATAATAAATTATCATTCTAACCATATTTAACATATTTCATCAACAGATTTAATTTGGGATCTCTACCAGTTGCCTTCCTAATAGTCTGGAATGAAGTATCCTCGAAAGACATAGATTCCACCAGGTTAACATACTCCACTGGAATACTGGAATTTAATTCTTCTGTTATGCACCTTATTTGTAGTGGAAGCGTCATGAACAGTTTCGGGCCACTGATGTTAATAGAGTTCTCTCTCAGAGTACCTATTGCACCTCTGCTCTTCAACGGGGGTATTCTGCACATCCTTCCATGCCTTCTGGTCTCATGTGGTGTTATTTCTGTGTGCAGGTTTGGGACAAGCTCCTCTACTATTTTCCACATGTAAATTATTATGTATCTCTCTTGCCTGCGCTCAAGAGAATACAAATTTAAGCATTTTAGTCGGTCCCAATAGTTTACATGTTTTACTGAGTGGATTCCAGCAGTAAAGGATCTCTGCACGCTCTCCAAGTCAGCAATTTCTCCAGCTTTGAAAGGTGCTGTCATTGTGCAACAGTATTCCACTCTAGAGAGCACTAGCATCTTGAAAATTATCAGCATCGGTATAGCATCTCTATTGTGAAAGGTTCTTGTTATCCAACCTGTCATTTTTCTTGCAGTTATGACGGCTACTTTATTGTGAGTAAACTTCCGACATGAGTACACCCAAATTCTTTACATTGCCTTTTCGTTCTATGTTATGATTTGACTGCATTTTGTATGTGGTTTCCATTTTTATATTTTAATTTTTACTGTAGCGCATAAGTTGGAACTTATCTTTGTTAAACACTACAATATTTTTTGTAGCCCATAAAAAGACCTGATTTACAGTATATCTGATTGGAGGTTTGCGGTGTCCTCCATGTTTTCTACTTTCATAAAAATTCTAGTGTCGTCTGCAAAGAAAGAAAGATACAGAACTATAGGCTGTGTCCTTGTCACTGTCCGATATGAGGTTGAGAAAAAATACTGGAGTAAGCACAGTGCCCTGAGGGACTGAGCTCTTCTCGGTTGATGGACCAGATTTTATTTTGTTGTCTATTACACATTGGGTTCTGTTAGTCAGGAAATTGTAGATCCATCTGCCTATTTTTCCAGTATTCCTTTTGAATGTATTTTGTGTGCAATAACACCATGGTCTCATTTGTCAAAGGCTTTTGCAAAATCTGTACAAATTACATCAGCGTTTTATTTGTCTTCCATGGCATCTAAGGCCATGTCATAGTGGTCCAGCAACTGTGATTGGCAAGAGCACACTGTTCTGAAACCATGTTGTCCAGGGTTATGGAGATGCTGTGATTCCATGTATTTTGTGATCTTACTTCTTAGTACTAGCACTTAGCTATTGGACGAATTTAAAGATATAACCCAACCTGCCAGTATTCCACCTGAAGTACAACACCATCATGCAGTGCATCACCCACCATCACCAGACCATGCTGCCTTGCTCCAGAATGATTGGCTGCAGCCTACATGGAATTCAACAAGCTACAGAAAGCGGTAAAACTCCGACCATCAAACAGTCTGTGGGCCTCACTCCTTCATATTTAAAAAAACAGCCCCAGGGAAGTGGTGCCCATGTGGGGACTACAGGGCCCTCATTGTCCACACCCTACTAGTTTGTTGACCAATACTGCACAGCCAAGACATTCAGAGATATACTGCTCTCTCAGTTGTGTTCACGTGTATGTCCTGGGCTGATATTCAGGTGCAAAGGTTTTGGAGGTTGACCAGGGTTACACACAGAGAGGGAAAACAAGTGAGCATTTACCAGGGAGGAGGGAGCACCACAGGAATGAAAATGAGGATGACACCCAACCAAGAGATATGACCCAAAGCCACATAAGAGTGCCAGGGCCCAAGTACAGTGACAAGATACTGGGTCTTTCTTTCCTTCAGGTCATTGGGGGCAGGGGTTCTGACTGCAGGCTGCCTCCCTCCTTCCTCCAAATGAGTGGGGAAGGTGGAGCAGACGAGCTTATGCTTAAAGAGATTTTGATTGTTTGCTTACATATTGTAGTTGGGAGAGTTCTTTCGGTGGTTTTTGAGGCTGCAACCTCGTTCGAAGCCAGCAGTGTTTTTTTTTTTTATCATGCTGACTTTCTGGGTGCTTTCCCCAGTGGTGGCATAAATAAATAAATATTCATATCACAGCTCCCTGCACCTCTGTGAGGGAGGCCAGGTTCTGACACTAGTTCCCCAGTATGCCTATAGAACTCTGCAGCCAATGCAACCTAGTAGATGGTACACTATCAGTGCTGCTTCAAGGAGCCGCCGCGGCTCACCTAGAAATTGGTGTTTCATTACATTCGATGGTTTCATTATATAAATATATAAAATTATGCACTTTTTTATGTAGAAATATAATATTACTGTATAAACCCAGAGAAAACCAAAGACATTGAAATAAATAAAAATATCTTTGAGGCAACTGCCACCCCATAGGGAAGGGCTGAGGCAGACCACAGCAGGGCGACTGATCTCTCAACACCCATAAATTGCCGGACTACCTTACTCCATCATGGCCAAAGTAGGCCACATACATTTTTTTTCCCTGTGATCAAGGAACACTAACAATATTAAAAGAAAATAATTTTGTATTGATTTTTCCCCCCTTGCACTATGGAGTTTTTTGGGAATAATAGGCATGCAGCCCAAGGGTTAAGAGAAAATATGATGAAAATGCAAATGTTGAGAGAGGTAATTAGTCCATCAGGTTTAAATGGCTACGAGGCGGGACATAAAGAGTTAGATCTTATTTCCCCTGTAGTCTATCATTTTATGATAGGTAAGCAGTGATAGGTAAGTAAAACCCTCTCAAACTATACATCTCCCCAACACAATACACCATCACCCTCATATCACTTTACCTGCCACCCACAGCCAGGTCGGTGATGGCATAGAAGTAGGACTTGAGAACCCTGGGGTCGCCAAAGACTTCATCCCTGAAGGTATTGAGGCGGTCCAAGATGATGCGGATGTCCACGGCAGTCACCCACTCCTGTAGACACAGACACAGGGCAGTTACAACATTGATTTGGGTAAACAACACACAAACCCAAGTAAGACTGAGACTAACAAACAGGAATCCCAGGTTTGAATCCCAGGTAGGATAGACGTGGTTGGGCATGTTTCCTTTCACCTAATGCAACTGCTCACCTAGCAGTGAATATGTACCATGGAGGTAGTCAACTGTTGTGAGGTAGCATCCTGGGAAAGGTCAGTAGATCAACCATGGGGGGTTGAACTATTGTAGTTTAACCCCAATATAAGCCTAAAGTATATATACTCAGATTGCCTGTCCCCAATAAAAATTAATAATAATAATAATAATAATAATAATAATAATAATAATAATAATATAATACTACAGCTGCAATATTATTATTATTCTGGGTTGGGAGGAAAACACACAAGATTAGTGTAGTGGTCCCTATTTCTCATATCTCATTCCTCTTTTTCCAACCACATTCCCCCTTGTGGACCATTACAACAAAATACTGTAACTCAAGCTAGCAAAATTGACAGTAGCTATTGCTGCAACATGTATGTAATGCACATTCATGTTAAAAGCCCTGCATTCCTAGCGAGGCTGAATGGTGGCTCCTTGATGCTAGCTCGACGAGATAATTCTGTAGCAAGTAATCTTATACTCACTCCATTATCTCATCATCTTAACACTTTCTGCGGATGAGGACTCCTCCCGGCGTCCTGTTTCGCCTACCCGCTCCCGCATGGTGGACATAAATTTATGTCCTCTTTTAAAATATTTGTATAAAATTCAATTTTAATCCGATTTACTTTGGGTTTGTTTCAAACTGCACGCCATGAGGCTCTCTTTCTCACCACTAGGCTGCATGGTACAATAAGTTCATGAAAGGTGTGGACCACTTCGATCAAATGGTATTACCATTTTACCCGGAAAACTCACAAGTGGACCTAAAAGATAACGTTTTATTTCCTGCAAATGGCTTTGCATAATGCCTTTGTTTTGTACAAATACAACACAACTGATCAAAAAAAGCTAACATTGCTACAGTTCCACGAGGTGGCAAATTGGGCCCAATTGTGCTGGGACCCGGAAGATTGGCCTCAAACAGCAACAGTATCTCAACACTTGCGGCACGCTCCAGACATAAATGATGACACAGGTCCTGCCTATGCTGACGCCATGCAAACTCCTGGACCATCTGGTGTGAGGCGGCCCTTGTTCACTTCAACACCTCAAGCTGAAGCAGCAACCGAATCAGAACCCGAAATGTCTGGCACACTGCCATTTGACGAGACAGTTTTGTCAGATGACTCTGACTCAAATGTTGAACCTCCAGCGATTCAGTTGATTCTGAAAATCGCATGAACTACAAACTGAAACGAGTATTTTGATACCAGAATGAACATTGTATCACAAACTGCCATAAGTAGACTCGAACCTTCATAGATTTTTTTTTGGGTGTAGCGTGTGTCTGCATGAGTGTCCCAAACGGGTTGCAGGTGGGTGACTTTAGCCGTTTATACTGGTAATACTTCCCCCATATCATGTATTATATGCATATGTCTGTTTAGGGAATTTTATTCCGATCAATGTACAACCAAAAATAACTGTGTGCAACAAGTATAAACTTGACAAACATAACAAAAGTAAAAACATTTCGTGTGTGTTTGACGCTCACTGATATGTTCCAGCGTTGTTTTATATTTGGCGCTATTCTATCTTACGCTTTGTTGATCTTTTTTACCTACGGGCTCATAGAACATTCTATTGCGAACACTGACACAAAAATGAATGACGTACATAGAATAATAATGTCATGAGAGTGAAATAAGTATAAACTTTCAAAGCGCCGTATCGCACATGTGTTGTCCCGTCACCGATACCGGGTAACAATTTCACCACTTCCCACTCTCTTGCGGGTGGGCCGCAATCATTATTTCACGCTTATATTCATATCACCGTGTTGGGAATTTCATTGCGAGTCCATTGATACCAAAATTAACGCTGTAGGACAAGTGTGGAGATGATAACAATCCCAAGAGTAAAAACATTTTGTTGCTGTTGGGCGCTCACGGCGAGTCATCTTCGTAGTTATTTATTTGGTGCTGGTATCCCTATATATTTCGTGACTTTTTTACTGATGTTCTTCTAGTGAATTTTATTGCGAACACGTTGGTACCAAAATGAAATACGTAGCTTGAGAACTAAGGTCAGGAGAGTAAAAAGAGTATACACATTTTTGTTTTTACGCTTATGTGGCAAAAACGCTGAGCGCACATACCACTTTTTTTTTTTACCATCCAAGGGGGCGCGAAAGTGTTAATGGCATAACTAACTACACAAGCTATAATCCTATCCCTATTTACAGGTAACGGTTTTTCCACCCTCCTATCTTACTGTGAGGTGTAGTCACCGTTTATAAGCCAGCGACTTGAGAATAGCAAACCAGTACAATCTCCAGTCAAGAATGTAGTACTCGGTGTAGGCAGTTCTAATCGACCCAAGACACTACAGCTTCGACACAGAACAGGCAGCAGACTACGACCTCATCCAGCTACAATGCTCTCCCACATAGAGCTCCGCGACTCCGGCCACACTCAGCTCTCTGCTCTGCTCCAAACTTTGTCTCAACGTCTACGACACTGCTGTATCCAGGACTACTAAATAAATATGAAACTCACTAAACACTGTGTATCTAATCAACTCAACAACGTAACAAACGTACGTTACATTGGTGACCCCCAGAGAGTTTTGACGATACCCAGCCATGATGGACTACAACATAGACTCTCACTGGACCTCTACTGCTGCTGCTTGTTGTGGACCGCAGCCACCTGTCATGGAACGTTGCCAACACCCTCACCACAGCTATGATTTTCATCGCGATCATCTCTGCATTTTCATCTACTATGGCTTGCTGCTCCACGATCGCTACTCACTCATCTGGCAGCTTCATCAGTAACTACATAATGTGGGATCTACAGCCTGTCCTGCTGACTCTCTGTCGCTGCCAGGGCACTGCTTGTTCTACAGGGACGCCCACGAAAGCTGCTCTTTCGTCAGATTCATCTACACATTCTGATACTCTACCGACTCAAGCACCTTGCGCAGTACAGGACTTACAGCTTGCGTTTCCGACTCTTCGTTGCCTCCAGGACAATTCAGCTCTAGCAGTGATTCCCTCGTTGTCCTAACTACGTTCCTACATTACCTCCTATTGTCCTGGTGCCCGAGCCCATCCGCCCCGGATCTAAATGCTCCACCAGCGACCAAATGACGCAACAATCATGCACATTCTTCTCTCCTGCTACACCGACCTTGTCCACACACTGCCTACAACTTATGGTACCAGACTACATGTTCCACAGCGACCCAAGGAACAGTAGCCTCATATATTTTTGTTATATTGTTTTCTTCCATTTCCTGGCAGGGGGAGTCCTGTAGCGAGTAAACCTATACTCGCTCCATTATCTCATCATCTTAATGGCATAACTAATTACACAAGCTATAATCCTATCCCTATTTACAGGTAACGGTTTTTCCACCCTCCTATCTTACTGTGAGGTGTAGTCTCCGTTTATAAGCCAGCGACTTGAGAATAGCAAACCAGTACAATCTCCAGTCAAGAATGTAGTACTCGGTGTAGGCAGTTCTAATTGACCCAAGACGCTACAGCTTCGACACAGAGCAGGCAGCAGACTACGACCTCATCCAGCTACAACGCTCTTCCACATAGAGCTCTGCAACTCCGGCCACACTCAGCTCTGCTCTGCTCCAGGCTTTGTCTCAACGTTTACGACACTGCTGTATCCAAGACTACTAAATAAATATGAAACTCACTAAACACTGTGTATCTAATCAACTCAACAACGTAACATAAACGTACGTTACAATTCCATACAAGATACAAAATCCCTATGATTCCATGTTGCCCCTTGGAGACTAGCAAGATTCTGGATGTTTCACCAAACATCCAGAAAGTAAGCAAAGCAAATGAGACAACTTTAAAGATTCACACAGAAAAGAAAGGAATCAGAATCCACTCAGTAGTTAGTTTGAACCCACTAAATACAGCTGTGAGGGGATGGTTCACCAGCTCACTTACAATGGTGCTCTTCTGCCTGTGGAAGCCAGTACACTTGCTAAGTGCACATGTTAAGTGTGCGGACCTAAGTAAATGCAGTACCCGAAACATCTTGTGTTTGCTCTGTCATCAAACATCTTGTCATGCTCTGAGGGTTATTTACTAGTGTTCTGCAGTATTGTCATTGCAACTGGATTGAAACGTAAATCACTGTGATTTGTTAGTGTGATTATCATTGTCATGGGTGAACTTTGCTGAAGACGAGTACTTGGGTTTTAATATTCTCCTGTTATCTGGTAGGACATCGAAGTCCAGTATTCAGTGAGGTGATTGCGAGGCAATTATTATAACGTAACCAAGGGAACTCCCATTGCTTTAAGAGAATTTGTTCTTTGACAATTTGAGTAACTTAAGATAAGTTTGGGTTAATTACTCTCCTGCAAGCAGCTACGGTAGTCTCAGGGTAGTCTAGCCATCAGCCAGATAAGAATAAGAGTATTGTCTGTCGTAATTAATGGTCAGTGGGCCGGGTAATTGACGTGTTTCAGGAAGTCAAAGTAATTAACTTTGATCCGTGTTTGATCGACTCACACGAAGGCTCCATTGTTCCATTAACGTAACGTCGTTATTTATCTGTCCGGAAGTATCTGCCCTTGATTGACTCTTGGGAAGAGTAACATCATTTTAGAACAACGTAAACGTGGTGATTAGTGTCCTTAATCACCTGAATTGGTCTGAGTATGAAAGGCTTGGACGGAATTCATACCTTAATGTAAATTCCTGAGCCAGTGTGAAAGGTTGCATATTTAATTGTTTAATTATTGATCTTGACGATAGTAATTAATTGCTCTAAAGGTAATCATGAGTGATTACCGTTCTCTTAGCAATTTGGACATTGTAAAATCAGAGATTACCATCGTTGAGT